AAAATAAAATAAAATAAAATAAAATAAAATAAAATAAAATAAAATAAGATAAAATAAAATAAAATAAAATAAAATAAAATAAAATAAAATAAAATAAAATAAAATAAAATAAAATAAAATAAAATCAAGTAAAACAAAAGAAAACAAAATAAAATAAAACTAAATAAAATAACACAAAATAGAATATAAATAAAATAGAAATAAAATAAAGTAAAATAAAACAAGGAAAATAAAATAAAACAAAATTAACAAAAATTTTACCAAAATAGAAAGTAAAAAAAGTCTAAATAAAATATGAAAGAAAATTAACATCAAAAACATAAAATTTGTACAGATAAAAAATGAAACTGAATAAAATTACACAAATGATAGATTTACATTATAAAAATCAGGGACCGAAAATAACCGTTAAATATCAATATTAAAATTTCAGATCATTGCCAAATGGTGGTATTTTTTTTTAGTTTGGAGCCCGTCATATGGTGATTTTTTCGACCAAAACTAATCGTTATTTTGGATGCTTATTTTTTTTTGTAATGAAAGTTTTTTTTTTATTTTTTCGCTCAGAGTAAATAATTATTATTGAATTTAATTTTTCCACTTCCAAATAATGATTATTTGTAAAATTGAAAGGACGCAACCAACTAAAATTCTGGCCTGAACATTTTGAGACTTTGATTTTGATTTTGAGGGAGTCGTTACCTCTGAAAATGGTACTTTTATAAATCACATTAGTATAGTTTTTAAGTTTTTTGAATAATCATTTTTTATAAGTGATAGAGTGAAATTCTACAAAAATTATTATCTTTGAGCAAAAATATAAAAATCATAAAATAATCATTATTTTTGATAGAAAAAATAAAAATTAAATATTAAATATTAATTGTTATTTTTAATTATTATAAAATAATGGGTAAATATCATCGGAAAAATAGAAATCCAATTTTAACGATTATATGCTGCGTTATCCTTAGTTTCGACGGAAAAAAATTCACCGGAAAATTTGTATTCCGTCCATGGCAACCAAATGTGAAAAGTGAACCGGTTCGGGGAAAATGAAACTCATGATAAGGCTGATTATGATTTTTGCTATAAAGATCATAACCGTTACGGCTCCTGAAAAAATGTAAAAATAAAGTGAAAATATAATATTTCAACTTAAATTGCAATGGTTATATTTTAGCAAAATGGCAATATACTAAGATCAATATTTTTGTATGCCACATTTAAAATTATGATCTGTCAAGATGACATTAAGTAAAAGCTATCGAAAGTAGCGCTAGCAATAACGACAACCAAAGAGCCAGCTAACTCAAAAATAACGAAAACAGTACATGCATAATGAATACTCATACATATGTAGCGTATGCATTTGTTAAAATATTACATTAATGTGCATACATATAGGTTCTTTAAAAAATTACAATAAAGCTGCAAATAAATTCATAAAAAATTAAGTCTACACTCCCCTTTGTCGGTTTCGCTATTTGTCTCTCTCCGTTTTCTTTTTTCAATCCAAGTGCAGACTGGTTCCTCTCGAACAGCGGCAGAATTGTTCTTTCGAAAGTCATCTCTTCTTTGTTCGACACCTTCCATGATTCTGCGCTATACATTTACTAACACTAAATTAAAATTTTATAATTATCGTAGTTTTTTTTTATTTCACTTTATTTCAATTTAATGCATTTTATTTGCTAATTTAATACAATAATAATAAATGTAAATTTTAATACTCTATACAATGGATGAGAATTATTTTTACTCAATATTGTGTATACGCGTATGAATGGTATGTAAAGAAACAAATTGTTCGAGTGTACGAATTTAATATACTACAAAATAAAATTAAAAACTCAAATTGGTTCATAGAAAATTCATTAAAAGTGTTTAACTTTGTTTTCGCTAATTAAATACAACTTGAAAAATAATTGTTTTTTTCCAAGTTTAATGCACTTTTGTGGTTGGTGTTTTTAAGTGTGGGTTACTGGGATTTCATTATATTCATCTCTGTATATCTTAAGGGTTTAACAAATCTGCTAACGGATTATCAGCTAAACTCGCTGGATTTTCAGACGTTGCTGCATTCGCTAAGTGTGTTTTTGTGGCATAAGCTACCTTCTTGGTTTTAATGGCATCTATCAAATCGAAAATTTATTGCGTAAATACGAAAAACACAACTAAAAAATTATGAAATTACTATGCATACCTTGTTTTGTTTTACTCTTGCCACCACCAAACAGGTCATCCTCATCACTTTCCATATCACTAAACAGGCCGCCACCGCTCTGCGTTGCCGGCTTCACTGCGCTACCTGCGCTTGCAGCTTTTAGCATTGTTGGCATGGGTTTCTTTTTGCTCTTCAGATTTGACAAAAAGTCATCGTCTTCATCATCGCTACCGAAAATCGAGTCCAATTTGCCGCCCACTACACTAGCAGTTGTTGCTTTAGGTCGAGCAATAACATTGGTTACTGCCGTTGTTGTTGTTGTTGCTGTTAAAGATTTCGTTGTTTGTGTTGTTTTTGCTTTGGCTGCTGATTTACTGCCTTTGAAGAGATCTTCATCGGAATCCTCATTTGGAGGTGTGTCAAAAAGAGATTTCGTGGCGTTCGTTATTGCAGTTATGTTACTCGGTTTTGTTGTTATACTTTTGCCATTGTCAGCAGTATTAAACTGAGATGCTGCGGTAATGGGTTTAGTGCCCTTAAATAGATCATCTGATTCATCATCGCTGTTGACGGTGAAACCTTTTGCATACGTTGCTTGATTTCTGGCGGCTGCTTGAACTGGGCGTGACACAGGCACAACTGCCTGTTCGGTAGATTTTCGTTGCATTAAGAGATTTGGTGTGTTGATATCCGAAATGTATGCTGGTTTATTGCTTGATGCAGAGCGAAAAAGCAAATTGTTTTGGCTGTCATCCTCCTCGAGTAAATTTGCGTGCGGTGTTTTAAAGACGCCACCGCTCGGCTTCTGGAATGTACTAGGCACTGTAATTTGATCAGTTTTTGGTTGGCTGGATAGTGTTTGTGTAGAGCTTGCAATAGCTTTTTCTTTTGCCTGATGTTGTAGGCTGCTGCTGGGCGCGTTTGTTTGCGCTAAAGCACCATCATCGTCTTTGAGGTCTGCTTGCTCGGCAAGCAGAGATTGGCGATAATTTTCTTGACGCGCTCTACGTGTTGATGGTCGCCTGCCGACTGGCGCACGGACACGAGTCTTGCAAACACTTGGCAATATATTTTCATTCGCCGCTGGCTCAGCGGAAGTAGTTGGAAGAGGGGAAGAAGCGCGCGGAAGTTCTTTGCTCGCCTCAGCTAGTGATTCTGGAATTGTAGTTGGTGTTTCCATGGCTTTGGCCACCTCTCCAGTAGTGGGCGACTTTTTGAAGCTTTGCATGCCACCCCCACCAGGCAAAAGTGCCTGCACATTTATTTTTATATTTGGTATTTGCAATTTGCCTGCAGGGCTCCGCATTTTACCAGCTGTGGACAAATTTTCTGAATCTTCCTTTTGTACTGCCTGATCAGTTACATCGTTTGAAGGCATAGAGGCGTTTGCTAACGATTGTGTTCCATTCTTTTCCTTTTCACTCTTGAAACTATCATTTCTTGCGGATGATATTTGCTTCGTTGAATCCAGGAAACTTCTCTCTTCTTCTACGTTATTCGCTTGAGGCTCTATCTGACCAATTTTTCTCATTATATCGAAATGGTCTTCATCCGTTGGTGGTTCATCATGGAAAAGCGCAGGCGTTGTCGTTTGCTTTTCCTTTATTTGCTGCACTGCCTCCAAAGTCTCGGAAAAATCATCATAGAAAACGCTATGCAAACGTTGGCTGGCTACAGAATTTTCAGCTGAGTATCGCGTGGATACAGCGAAGCTAAAATCGTCGCCATCATCGTCTGGCGGAATTTCACAAAACAAACGTAAACCTCCGTAATCGCTGCTGCTTGGTTGTTGTTTGTTATTCACGTCTTTTTGAGTTTGATTTGTAGCCTTAGAAGATACTGTTAGTGCTGCATTTGGCGTGGCGGGTAAAGCAGGTTCATAGAAATCGCTTTCTAAGTCCAGTGTTAATTTTGAGACAGATAAAGGGTGCGTACTACTGCTGAGCGTTGTGAAAAAGTCATCATCATCAGGCGGTTCGTCAAGAAAAATGCTAGGATATTCATGATTCTTTGCATCGGCCCGTGTCGATAGCAAAGGTTGCACTCCTAAGTCAGCTGCAGCATTTGCTGATTGCTGTGCTGGCTGCAGCATGGACTCTGATGTAATAATTTCTTCGGACGATGCTAAATCAGATTCGAGTTCTAACCGATTTCTTGCCACCTCGGCGACAGAGCTGTTACCTTCATGTTTTGTAGATTCTGCAACGCTTGATGACCTGCTTGTTTTAGTATTTTGGCCACCAGCAAATTTGTCCTCAGACTCCTGTCTCATTTTCCCTGTTAAATATTCCTCCTTTGATATTTGCTTCACCGTCACAACTGTATTACTTGCATTTCCATAAACAGCTGCGATAGTTTGTTGTTTAGGAACTGTAGCACCTGTTTCAACAAATAAAGCGCTTTCTGGTTCTTCGGCAGTGGACGCAGAATAATTAGACCTCATAGGGTCAGATTTTTCCTCAATCGTGTCTTTGGTGATTTCTTTATCAATTTTAAATAAATCGGACTCCTCATTTTCCATAACATCTTCAAAAATAGATCTTTGTTGATTCAAATCTTCTACGGATTTCAGATTACATGCTGTTCTTGCTGCATGCAACGGCGATTTGCTTTCTCTTTGCTGCCGCAATGAAGTCAGGACACCTTCTTCTATGTTTTCATTACGTACTGATTTCGTATTTGGCTTCCCGCCGAATAAATCGTCGGATTCATCATCGAAATCACCAGCGAATAGTGTTGCGCTTTTAAATACGTTTTGTGTAGGCACAGTTGTGTTTTGTAGATTGTTACTTGGTAGGTCTATTTGAGGGGGATCTACTATTTTTGTCGCACTGTTAGAAGCGATGCCATTTGAACCTTTTAAATCTTCTTGCGCAAAAGGATTGCTAAATAAATCATCCTCATTTTCAAACAATGATTCTGTTTGCTTTATATTCTCTTTAGAATTCAATTTTGTAGGTTCTGCGATGTTGGGATCTTTTTCTAAAGGTCTATCCCTAATCGTTTTAGTTGATTGTTGATTTCTGGATTTCTTCTTGAATAAATCATCTAAATCGTCATTGTCTTCATCACCAAAGAGATCATTCCCAAAGTTAATATTATTTGGTTTAACTGCATTCGATTCTAATGTCTGAAGAAAAAATACATTTAATAAGGGTTTTCTCGTTAAATTGAATAAATTTTTACTTACCTGCGGTTTCACTCCCACTTTGGACGACGTCAGTGTTGCACTTTCATCCTCAAAATCAGCAAATAGGTCAACTTTAGATAGTGCCGTCGAATCTTTTTGTTTGCCTACGCTATTCGCATTTTCTTTTATTCCGCCACTAGCCGTCGATTTGTTTGTTTCCTGCCTTTGAAGTGTTGAAATAGAGGATGCTTCCTTATCTGCAGGTTGTGTATAGGCAAATAGATCACTTGCTAATCTTGAAGACTGCATAGTACTCGGCGTTTTTTCGCCACTATCATCGTCGAAAAGTAGAGTTCTACCTGCGCTACTCTGTGGCAAGCTTAATTTTTTCGAACCAAAAACATTTAAAAAGTCATCATCGTCCTCATCGTCATCAAACAACAATTTTGCAGATATATTTGGCTTAGTTGCTTTTTGCACGACATCAGCCCCCTTCTTTTCATTGATAATAGCTGAAGAGAAGAGCGAATCATTGGGCGGACTGTTTTCAGGGCTAACGAAAAGATTCACTGGCTTTCGCTGTTTAACTCCCGTTGCATTTTCAATATTCATCCGGCCCGTTGGTTGGCTTTCTACTGGCTTTTGAATATTCAACGTGTCGGTAAACATATCTAAGGCTGTTGCTATAGGTACTTGTTTTGCTGTTGCACCAGTTTCTTTTTTCGTTGGCAGATTTCTAGTCGCTGGCACTGGTATTTGCGCTGGTTGAACAGCGTTAATTTGTGGCTTCTCTACGACATCCGTCATAAAGGAATTGAAATCATCATCGTCGAACAAGTTTACAGGCTTCACTTTACCATGAACGTCGGCTGATTTTTGTGGTATTGTATCGCTTGTGCGATTGCTGCTTTGTTTCGTTGATGCTGCTTCATCGAAAATGTCAGTAGGGGGAGTAGCGTCGAAGAAAGGTGGCAACACCGACGGAAGCTGCACCACATTACGTTGATTTCTCAACGTAGAAGGAGCATATTGCTGTTGTTGTGGTGATGAAGACGCAGATGTGCTTGTAACTGGTGTATCATGCCGCAAGGCAGCAGTAAACAAATCATGTTCACCTCTTTGACGCGATTGTGGATTGTTTGCAGTACTTCGAGACGTTGTAGAACAAGTGTCACTATCATCGTTGCTTGGAATGTGTTGTGTAATGGGTATGCGCCGGTTTTGCGGTGGAGTAGTTGTTATTGTAGGTACATTTTGAGCTACCACCTGAGGGTGTTTATGTTCAATTGGTATGGAGGTACTTGAAGCCCATTCTGAGAGATTCGCTGTATTACTCTCGTATGACTCGTTATCAGCAGTTGATGACCTGGAGGATTCGGAGAATGCATCAGATGCTTCATCGCCCGAATATTCGTTGGAGCCATCACACAGGCCTACATGCCAATGCTCTTTCCATAGTTTGCTACCATAAATATGCGGCAATAATGCGTCATTGTAAGGATTTTTTGGTTGATAAATGCAGCTGAAAGTGGATATAAGATATTTTGATAACCCTCCTCCTTGATTAATTTATGTATACAATGTTACTTGTTCGTTGTGACGGATTCGTCCTCATCAGAGTCTTCAAAATCTAAAGAGTACTTCTCATGACAATTGTTGAGCATTTGCAAATTTTTTTGCAGAAAAGTTTCCAGCACTTCGTTGGTGGACTTCGGTTGGTCGGTGGACTACAATGGGCAGACAATTACATAAATACACATTTAAATATGACTCTCATACCGTGCTCAAGACTTTCACATGAGTGTCAGCTGTATTTGTAAGGGTTTCGTCATCGTCATGGCAGCGACTCTCTACGAACTGTGTATACTGCAAAGCCGTCAAACTATTGGCCGAATTGTCCAAGGCTATTGCCGTTCTATTTACATTTACAGCAAGTTGCTGCAGTGCATCGCTTGTGGCAGATGCTCTTTGTTCTATTACCTGTGAAAGATCCTGCATCCAAGCGAGCAGCGAACAATCTCCTTCGAAACTCCATTGTGCTGCTTGGGAGATTACTTTTTGCGTTCTTGCGCTATCTTCCATAGCTTTCACTTTTAATAATCACCTTAAATTGATAAAAACCAGAAATCGCAAAATTACAGCTGTTATCAATGGAGCGAGTGTGTTCAGTGGAAGCTATTGTTGTAAAAATATTGGCGGTTTTTCTCAAGAACCGGTTGTTTTTGTTAACGATTTTTTGTTTATGTGATATTGTGCGCCATTTTTATAATTTTGTTTTTAATTGTTTTAACATCAAATTAATGCACTGGTAGTGTTTTAAAAATATAAAAATACATAATTCACACATTTATGTTCCAACCAGCGTACTTTTGACGTTTGGAATATTGATTGCCACTGAACGTACGGCTGACACGCGTGGTCAACAGCAGGCGCGATTGGATTTGTTTTAGTTTTTCAGTAATTTTATAATTATTTGTAAATAATTAGAAAAAGATTGTTTAATAAGTGTCGTATAAATGGCAATGCTTGCTGAGCCCCGACAGAAAAAGCGATATAACTTAACACCTCGAGGCAAAGCGTTGTATGAAGGTATTCGAGTGATGCATTTTTATTGAGGCTCTTAACGAATCGCTTTATCTTTCAGATGAAACGCGCTTTGGAACGAAAATGTTGGAGAAAATGGGCTGGTCCAAAGGAAAAGGACTGGGTGCTAATTTGCATGGTAGTCAAGATTTTGTGCGCGTCCGAATGCGAAACACAAATGAAGGTTTGGGTTTCGAAGATCGTGATGACCACTGGACGCAGCATGAACAAGAATTTAATGGTTTGCTGAAATCATTGAGTAGCGAAAATGATCAGGGTGTAAATGCTGATGGTGATAAGGAAAGTACCACTGACGAGGAAGCGCCTCGTGTGGGTTTTGGTTTTGCGCCTGAACCAAAAAAGCCCAAAGTGGAAAAGCTAAAGGATAAAATTAGTGGTATTTCGCTAGAAGAGAAGTCAAAGCTGAGTAAAGCTCGTGTCCATTATCGTAAATTTACGAAGGGAAAGGATATTGCTCAATACAGTGAAAAGGATTTGGCTAATATATTTGGAAAGAAAGCGGTTGAAACAGAGCAAACAGAAGGAATATATGCGGAGCTCAATGCGATGATGTCGAATCAAGGAAAAGAAGTGAATGAAATACCAGTTGTAGTAGAAGCGAAGGAGGGGAAGCCTAATTTCGCCGGTGTGCAGACGATAAGCACGGGGTTATCGGTGAGTGATTATTTTAAGCAAAAAATGGAAGCAATGAGAAATAAACAAAAGCCCATCAAATCCGGAGGTGAGGAGAAGAATGGAAACCAAGTGACTGCAGAAATGCAGGAGCAAGACCATATGGAAACTAAAAAGAAAAGTAAAAAACGCAAACGCGACAAAGCCTTATTGCATACTGAAAATGAAATAAATGGTACAAACGATGTTAGCGTAATTGAAGGTTTAGAAATAAATATTAAACGAAACGTAGAAAAGCGTAAGAAAACGAAGAGTCTGCCTGAAAATATTGAATTAGATAATGTAACCGCCTTGACGGAAGCGAATATTCAAGAATCGGAGGGCCTGACTGAGTCTAAAAAGATTAAAAAGAAAAAGAAGGGTAGTGCATTAAAAACGGTAGACATGACGCAAGAAGAATACGATGCAGCTGCTGAAATATGTACAAAGAAAAAGTCTAAGAACATTAGTGGAGAACAGCCTAACGAAGAAGAAAGCAGTATAAATTCATTGGCAACAGTGAGCGATGTAAATGAAAAACCTAAGAAAAATAAATCCAAGAAAAAAGAAAATGAAAAATCCCTAGAAACTACAGACGGGGTAACATTAAACAATGTGGATGAAATTCCAGCATCCCAACTGCCCAACAAAAAAAGGAAAAAAGATAACCTACTGCAAGATGATGAAAATATTCCAGTGAACCAAGGTCCTGCCGATATTGAATTAATAACTGAAATATCCGTTAAGAAAAATAAAAAATTAAAAAATAAGGAAAAGTTGCAAGATACTTCTATTGCAGACTTAAATGCGGCAGCAAAAGTAGAGAGTCCTGCACAAGCTTCGAGTAAAAAGTCAAAGAAACAGAAAAAACTTGAAAAAGAAGTAACAGAAGGCATAGCTGGTCATGGTGCCCAAACCAAGCAAGTACCAAAGTCATGGGGGAAAGCTAAAAAAAATGTAAGTGAAGAAATATACCTTCAATCGCTGACACTTGATGAACTAATAGCCAAATGTAATTCTTTCAATGTCCTCACTGTTTCCTCATTTTGCGCAGAAAAATTCCGTAACGTCGATTTAGACCTATTCAATGGAGCAACAATATCACAATTCCCTGGCTATTCGTACAGTGAGCAAAATCTACAACTTAACGTAGTGGATCAACCCAAAGACAAGGAGCGTATCTTGCATCTTTGGAACTGTAAAATAAATAAATATCAGAATGTTAATCCAAGGGCTATATTTGCCAATTATAAATTCAACGTGGTAAAGGCTTATAAGGCCAAAACAAAACAGAGGAAAAGAATACCTCGATTTCATATGAAATCACTGAAAAGAAAAAATGTGTTCCAACCTATATAGAATATTACTAATAAAAAACGAATGTTACTAGCCTGAGAAAATCCATTTTTATTTAATTTAAATTTAAACTTCTTAGGTTGTTATAAAAACCTCATTGACCTAATTAGGGCAGTAGTCAAAATCCGGTAGTTTTCAAAAGCTATGTGAAAAATAGAATTTAAATTTTGACCCCTGCTAAATACTAATTTAGTGTGGATTAGTAACCTATAAACGTAACACTTCATATTTACATCTTTATATGTAAATGACCATTTAAGTTGTACAACACTTAAAAATAAGCATGCGAATTAACCGAAATTATTTATATATATTATATGTAATGTATGCATTTTCAAAGTCAAAAGTATGTAGTGGGTGTATGCTTATTTTGTTTTGTTTCTTATGTTGATGCTGTGCCTCCTTATACGAACTTAGATGTTTAAGTTTCTGCTGGCTAAAATCGGTTGCCACGCGACGAGGACCGCTACCATGTCTGCTCGGGCTGTGCGAGAAAAATATTCAAATGTTAGTGCCTTAGAAATGTGTCATTATTTACCTCATCCTCTTCGGCATCATCATCTAAGTCACCATTTTGATGTGCAATACGTAATGAACGTCGCAGGGAGCCTTGATAACCCGGACCAGAACTAGGTCTTTTCAGGAGGGGATTATGTTTGAAGGTATTAAGATTCACATGCGAATCCCACTAAAAAGATAAGACAATTTCGTTATTAAAATTATTCGTCTTAAATGTGTACTAAAAAGTATTCGACGTACCGAACTTGATACTATTTCTGAACGCACAGGATGCCATGCTAAGTCGCGAACGATGTCTTTATGTCCTTCAATAGCCTCTTTTATTTGTCCAGTTAAAACATCATAAACTGAAAATAGAACTCATTTAATATGTAGAATTTATATTCTCATGGAAGGTAAATGCAGAATGGGCGCGACCTAGGCTAAAATTTGCATTAAATAGCAGGTGTTGTTATTTGATCTTAGCATCTTCTTATTAAAGCGATCCCTTTATAGAGAATATAAAAAATAACTTTCTTCCCACCCTGCTTTCTCCGCCCTTCATTACATACTTATGATTCTGCCTGTGCCACAGCCCGTGTAAATGTAGCGCTGTCCAGTTTGCAGTGCGGGGGAGAATTTCGCACGCAATAGACTTTTTGTGACACGGTGACCACGATATGTCATAACGCTAACATCGCCTTCCAACGTGGCCTTCGGGTTGTAATCTATAGTGAATAAAGTGAATTTAGCAATATATTTGTGTTATAGCTTATTTAAAACTATTACAATCACGTGGTACTGTATCCCAACGATAATCCCATGGAATCAATGGCAGTTTCACCTTATTTAGTTTGTTACTAGGGGTTGTCATTCGTAAGTCCCAAATTTTTATGCTTTGATCTTTGGAATTAGTTAGCAGGTAATGACCATCATTGCGCGGATCAATGTAAGTAATGCCATCTAAATGACCTCTAAACACTCCAACTGGTGCATGCCTGTTGTTATTATATCTGCTGTTGCTGTTACTGCTACCGGAACCTGTACCACTGCTCGCACGCCCCGAGCTCCCAGCACAACGTAAATCCCATAATTTTAATACACCATCATTGCAACCAGAAACAAATATATTAGAATCTTGATCGCTTACGAAACTAACAGCATTTATATCGGACTTGTGGTTTCGTTGTGTGTTTATTGTACGCACAGCGCGTGACTCCCGATCGACCATGTAGATCAGTGAATTATTACAGCCACCAATTATATTTTGTCCGCAAGGCGAAAAACGCAAGGAAAAGATGCCGGAGCGTGTTTGTTCGGCATTCAAATTAAGCCATTGCAATTCTCTGCCGTTACCATTCACGGGTAGCACGAAAACTATAAGTAAAATATGTGCTGTAAAAAGAATGCAATTTATTTTTATTAAACAAAAGATGCTTACATGTATCCGACCAGGTAGAATAAGCGATATATTGTCCACAGGGACTGAAATCAACATCCAAAATACTCCAATTGCATACGTCAGCCGTTATGCGATTTATGCGGTGGTATGTGCCCTTCGAAGAGTCGAAAATGCGTATAATTGAATCTACAATAGAATAATATTGGAATATTAAGAGAAAATTTGTTGGATGCAAGAAAGCCATTTGATGGTTTTTACTTTGTAAGCCTATTAATGCACTTTACAGCATAGCGCACGCTTACTGTGCGGCAGGTAAGGAATAATAACTACCCTCTGCTCACTTTTCTTACAATTTGGTAATCATTTTCGAAAATCAAATACCTTGACAAGCGGTAACCAACTTGCTTCCATCCTTATTAAATTTGCAAACGAAAACTTTAGCCTCCAATGACATTAGGCGCTCTTCCTTGTTATTAGGCACAAATAGGTTAGCTATGCGACGTTGTTGATTCGGTGTAAACGAACCAGCTGGATGTGCGGCTATACCGTTCTCACGCCTCAGTAGACCACGCGTCAACGACCAGCGTTCACTGGGTCGATTACTATTCGCTGGCAGGGCACACAAAGCCTTGATTTCTTTGTAC